AGAGACACACAAAGAGAGACACACACAGAGAGACACACAAAGAGAGACACACAAAGAGAGACACACAAAGAGAGACACACAAAGAGAGACACACAAAGAGAGACACACAAAGAGAGACACACAAAGAGAGACACACAAAGAGAGACACACAAAGAGAGACACACAAAGAGAGACACACAAAGAGAGACACACAAAGAGAGACACACACAGAGAGACACACAAAGAGAGACACACAAAGAGAGACACACAAAGAGAGACACACAAAGAGAGACACACAAAGAGAGACACACAAAGAGAGACACACAAAGAGAGACACACAAAGAGAGACACACAAAGAGAGACACACAAAGAGAGACACTCAAAGAGAGACACACAGAGAGAGACACAGAGAGAGACACAGAGAGAGACACAGAGAGAGACACAGAGAGAGACACAGAGAGAGACACAGAGAGAGACACAGAGAGAGACACAGAGAGAGACACAGAGAGAGACACCGAGAGAGACACAGAGAGAGACACAGAGAGAGACACAGAGAGAGACACTGAGAGAGACACAGAGAGAGACACAGAGAGAGACACAGAGAGAGACACAGAGAGACACACAGAGAGACACACAGAGAGACACACAGAGAGACACACAGAGAGACACACAGAGAGACACACAGAGAGACACACAGAGAGACACACAGGGAGACACACAGGGAGACACACAGAGAGACACACAGAGAGACACACAGAGAGACACAGAGAGAGACACACAGAGAGACACACAGAGAGACACACAGAGAGACACACAGAGAGACACACAGAGAGACACACAGAGAGACACACAGAGAGACACACAGAGAGACACACAGAGAGACACACAGAGAGACACACAGAGAGACACACAGAGAGACACACAGAGAGAGAGAGACACACAGAGAGACACACAGAGAGAGACACACAGAGAGACACACAGAGAGAACACAGAGAGACACACAGAGAGACACACAGAGAGACACACAGAGAGACACACAGAGAGAGACACACAGAGAGAGACACAGAGAGACACACAGAGAGACACACAGAGAGACACACAGAGAGAGACACACAGAGAGACACACACAGAGAGACACACAGAGAGACACACAGAGAGACACACAGAGAGACACACAGAGAGAGACACACAGAGAGACACACAGAGAGACACACAGAGAGAGACACACAGAGAGACACACAGAGAGACACACAGAGAGACACACAGAGAGACACACAGAGAGACACACAGAGAGACACACAGAGAGAGACACACAGAGAGAGACACACAGAGAGAGACACACAGAGAGAGACACAGAGAGAGACACACAGAGAGAGACACACAGAGAGACACACAGAGAGAGACACACAGAGAGACACACACACAGAGAGACACAGAGAGAGAGACACACAGAGAGACACACAGAGAGACACACAGAGAGACACACAGAGAGACACACAGAGAGACACACAGAGAGACACACAGAGAGACACACAGAGAGACACACAGAGAGACACACAGAGAGACACACAGAGAGACACACAGAGACACAGAGAGACACACAGAGAGAGAGACACAGAGAGAGACACAGAGAGAGACACAGAGAGAGACACAGAGAGAGACACAGAGAGAGACACAGAGAGAGACACAGAGAGAGACACAGAGAGAGACACAGAGAGAGACACAGAGAGAGACACAGAGAGAGACACAGAGAGAGACACACAGACAGACACAGACACAGAGACACGGACACACAGACACGGACACACAGACACGGACACACAGACACGGACACACAGACACGGACACACAGACACGGACACACAGACACGGACACACAGACACGGACACACAGACACGGACACACAGACACGGACACACAGACACGGACACACAGACACAGACACAGACACAGACACAGACACAGACACAGACACAGACACACACACACACACAGACACAGACACAGACACAGACACACACACAGACACACACACACACAGACACACACAGACACACACAGACACACACACACACACAGACACACACACAGACACACACAGACACACAGACACACACACACAGACACACACACACAGACACACACAGACACACACAGACACACACACAGACACACACACAGACACACACAGACACACACAGACACACACAGACACACACAGACACACACAGACACACACAGACACACACAGACACACACAGACACACACACACAGGGAGACAAACAGACAGACGCACACATGCTCACAGGATGTCTTGACTGAGACCCGCATAGTGTGGTGCACTCTGCGCTCGTGAGTCTGAGTTCGTTCAGGTTGCGGATCTCTTTGCAGCCCGGCGCTGGGAATCGCTGGGATCGTGGAAATTGAAAGGGTGGGCATCCATCAATGCCAACAACTTGCATACAGAATGGCACTCAGGTTGCCACTGCAAGGCCCTGGCAAGACTTAGGCTAAACCCAGACTTCGCGAAGGGTTGGAACAACATGGGCTGCTGCCTGGTTCGCCCCTCAGTGGCCGGTTGATGAAATCCAGAGCAGCTGCATGTCGACAGATGTCTCCTCAATTGCGTCAACCATGTGAGACCGTCAAGCTTGGCTGATGATAGTTCCGTGCCCGGCATCAAGGCCTCCAAGATGAACCTTAATGATGGCGTGCAGGGCTTGGTCGCCAGTCAAGAGTAGCTGGGCTACAGATTTTCTTTCAGGTTCACCTTGTTTCCGATTGCTCCAGGCGTGATGCGTGTGTTGCGCCGCTGGTTCCAAGCTGCCCGGAGTCCGGACGAGCTGAGGCCCGGGCCGTGCGGAAGGCTGTGTCCTTGAACCCGGACAACCCGCACCTTGGGTGCAAGATCGAGCTGCGCGTCAAAGCCCAATGCGAGAGTTTGAGTTTGCCGTGTGCGTGACTCACTTGTTTTGCTTGGCTTGCCTTTTTGAGGCAGTACTGGGCCAACCTTGTGCAAGCCTCAGCTAGAGAATCCCTTCAAGACGGGCAAAGCGGAGTTTAGGAACGCAATTTCTCATCGGCAAGAGGGCGGCATGTCAATGTGCTTTACACGCCTTGAAAGCTGCCAGGCAGGGGCAACTAACTGACTAGCATGCAAAGATCACAGCATAGCCCAAGATGCTTCAGTCTGAAAAGCCGTGCTCGTGCGGTGAATTGCATCGTTGTTTGTTGACGGCGTGCCCCAGGCTGTTCTCAGCCAGCACCTGGGTGACTACTCAGCCTCCCAATCCGCAATGAGCGTGGCGCCCAGTGAGCCGCAAGGTGCCGCATGGCTTCCTGTTCGAAGGGTGACAAGTGCCTTTTGGATAACCCCGCAGGTGCCGTTCGTGATAACCCGCAGGTGCCGTTCGTGCCATAGCACGAGCGGTGACCCAATTCGAGAAAACCGTTTCCAGTGCTTAGTTCGCGGGCCGCGGCAGGGTCCAGGTCCTTTACGCGGAGTTGTTTTAAGAGTTGGGTTTGGTTTGCTGCAATTTCGCCCATGAGCCTTTGGCCGCAACTGGCCAATTTGGCCAGTCAGACCTGGGATCTTCGAGTCGCCCAGGCAACGCGTACCAGCTTTGGCCCGGTCCCTGTGGCAACTGGGACCGCTGAAAGCGGCATCGTTTGGCTCGCGTTGGTCTTGAGATCGCCAACTGCTCGTGTTGTGCCCAGGGTGCTTGATCATTTGCCAGTGCCCAGGGAATCAAAGGACAAAAAAAAGAGCAAATATGGATTCATTACCACCTGCCGCAATGACTTGGTCTCTCATGTTTTTTCTTTGTGTGTTTTTGGCATTGGCTTGCGATGCAGTTATTGCAAACTGCCTGACTTCAAAATGAGTTTAGATTTTGACAATCGGTAGATCAACACCGACGCTGAATCCGAGCATGCACAATACAAAGGATGGCCTTGGGTTCTTGAACGGCGCTTTTGCCCCGCCTGAGACGAGGGGAAGGGCTACAAGTGAATGACTGTATGACGTATGATGGGCATTTGCTCGGTTTGTTCACCAATTCTGCCTGTGAGGCCAACTATGCCAGAGCACCGTGATTGCGCCTGGGAGTTTGCGCCTGCTGGGTAAGGCATGGCTTGAAATCAAGACTCGCATCTCTGCTGTTAACAGACTCAGTCCGGCGGTGTGATTGCGGTTGAGAGTTTGTACTATTGTCAGGGACTCCTTGCTCGCATTGCTACATTCTTTCAATCACTGCCGCGTTGATTGCATTGCCCAGCCCTTGGCACGCTGTCTAGGTCCCCCAGTAGTGTACAGAAAAGAGGGTACCCTTATTCTAACCTCTCTACTGGAGGGCCTAGTTGTTGGGGAAACAATACTGTTGAACCTGCGCCGGGCTTGCGAAAGCACCCTCGGGGGCACAAAGCGTTTGCTTCAGATGCCTGAGGAAGTGCTGCAGCCCCGTATGCAAGTCAAGAGTAAGGGAAAAGATTGCAGGGCCTCTTCGTTCCGTCGGTTGCTCCAAGAAAGTCAGGCTCAGGCGAGGAGGTGCCATGCCAGCGTTGCACCACTTTGTGGCAGGACAGCTGCACAAGTCAGCATATGCATGATGCGGTGTTTTTGTTTTTTGTTTTTCTTCTCTCTCTCTCTCTCTTTCTCTCCCTCTCTCCCTTTGTTTAACTGTTTGTACGTCATCTCTGTCATGTGAAGTGTTGTTTGCCTGCGTGCCGGCATTCCTGCCTGCCTGCTTGCCTGTCTGTTTGTTTGTCTGTTTGTTTGTCTGTTTTTTGTCTGTGTGTTTGTTGTGTGTTTGTTTGTCTGTCTGTTTTCGTTTCTGTTTGTGTGGTTTGTTTTGTTTTATGTTGCTTGCTTGCTTGCTTGCTTGCTTGCTTGCTTGCTTGCTTGCTTGCTTGCTTGCTTGCTTGCTTGCTTGCTTGCTTGCTTGCTTGCTTGCTTGCTTGCTTGCTTGCTTGCTTGGCCTGTCCTGGCCTGGCCAGTGCCTGTGTGTGTGATTTGTGTTAGTTCGGTTTGTTTTGGTGTGATTTGTTTGTTTGTTTGTTTGTTGTGCATGTGTGTTGTATATATATATATATGTATGTATGTATGTGTGTGTGCGTTTGCAGTTTGCACGGGGCGGAGTTTTGAAGTAGGGATGACTCAATCACTGAGCCCCCGTGACACTGTATTGAGGACTTTGGTTTGAAAAGAGGGTCCTGCCTTGCTCAAGCCCTTGTTGAATTCGCCGTGAACTTGACTCCCACGTTTGGCACAAACAAGACGTGTCCTGCCCGACGAAGACAACTGTGCAGCTACAGAGGCGCTTGAACAGCCTGACACCTGCTTGACACTTGCAGCCATTTGGCATCACTTGGCCGAATAAGACGAGCAAAAACTAGAGCACCGCTGATCGCCGCCTGATTGTGGTCATGGGCCGCTTGTCTGTGGGAACATCTGGCTGGTGTGGACTCCACCCACGGGAATTTGCACGGCGATATGACCTGGCACTTGGCTCAGGGCAGCAAAGGGTGGCTGTTCCAATTGCAACGCTTGTTGAACGCGCGCAATTGAAACATGGGCGACCGCTGGAATGCACTGTACTCGCAGTTGCTGGCCGCAAGGTGGAATTCAATTGGACGTTCCATGAGCGGGACAGTGATGTCGACCACTACAAGAAGGCTAGTAATTGGTCATGGGACTGGGGCGGCTTGGGTGTCAAGGATGGCAGCAATGCAAGGGCCACTAGGAACATCAGGGACGATCCAGGGCGGGATGTGCTTTGCTTCCGCAGTCCCTACATCAGGCCCAAAGGCGTGGGAACAAGGGACATATTCAAGACTGCAGGTAGGCATGGAGCCGCTGCCGTATGTGGTCAATATGTTGCTCGATGTTGCTGATGGCTGTTAGCATTCACCTGACATAGATGTTTGCAGTAAGTTAGGCTTCGGCAGCTGGCGGTCGGTTGGCAAGCTTCTTAGGTTCTAGGCAAGTCGAGCAGTTTGAGCTGGCTCGGTTTTAGCGGATGTTGGGAAACAACACGGAGATGCTGCAAAGAGTGCCCTTCGCATGGTAGGGCTTGATGACTGCTTGAAGAAATTGGTAGTGCATAGTTAGACAAGGTACAGGCCTTCAGCGTTTGCGGCCGCGCTTCTTTTCAATTGGACTTCTTCATGCATGGTCCGTTTTTCTGACCTTGACATGTTTAATATGTTTACGCTATGTTGTATTATTCTAGCGGAATCGCTTTGCTTTGAGTGGTACGGATGGCCCCTCAGACATGGCAGTGCGTTCCCCGAATCAGCCGCTGCCTCTAACTTAAGCAGCAAGTGGTAGCACGAGGCAGCATTCAGGCACGCATATTTACATTCATCCGAGCCCATTGCGCCCATGGCTGGACCCATGCAGGGCCAACATGCAAGCCAAAACGCTCTCGAAACCAAAGTAATTTGTGTCCGGCCGTGGGCCCCCCATGACCTCGTTGTGCCTATCACGCGGATGCTCCACTCACAAGCGTGGGTGCTTTGGGCGCTTATTCTCCCGACGGTTTCACAGCAACTTGGAGCCATGCCCAGCCACGCCAAGCTTGCCGCGGAGCTGAGCAGCCAGCTGCGGGGGAAGTTCGAGAAGAAGCGAAAGCCCAAGGCTGCAGCTGCCATGGCCGCTTATGTGAAGGACTGGGCTGGGCGGGTGAGCATGATTTGAAACAAGACCTTTTTGGTGGACAGGGCAGAGCCTTTGCTGTTGCCCAGAGCTGCGTGAGGTATTGTTTTCGAGCTAGATTGAACTCTGCGCGACAGGATTGGTTGGCATTGCTTCAGTACGATGAAAGGAGGGTCATGTGTTCTGATTCGGCTTGCAGGGGCACACCTGAGCCACAGTCAAAACCCGGCTAGATGAAGGTTAGTAAGGGGCAGTCCCAGCCGGAAATAGTTGCGGCTGCCTTTCTATTTCTTTGCATGGTTCTAAGTTCACCATTTTTGTGCCAGGTTTTGATTGTGACTCACCTAGGATTCCAGGCATCCCGCAAGATGATTTGCGACCCTGCAGCGATCCATATTGCGGGGGGGGACCCATATACTATCTCCCTGCTTGGTGGCCTCACATATCGGCGAGCTTCCCTTGGTTGATGAAAAAGGGGAAGCATGGGGAGCCCTGGGCAGTTTGTCTTGTGGCTTCTGTCTGAAATAGTGTTTAAAAATGCGTTGCAGCGTTGTGCTTGTTCGTTTGATTGCTGATTTCGCACAGGTGCGCTCGCGACAGGCATTTGCATTCAAGTGCGTTGCTAGTTGTTTGTTCCTTTTTCTTCTGAACAGCTGTATTGAAGGCACGGCACGTTTGAAAGTCCCGGCAGGGTCGCTTCCCCTACTATGGCTTGAAGGCCGAAGAGCGTCGGCATGTCGCCAAGGGTGTCATCCAGAGCTGGAAGAAGCAACATGCCATCAGCAAAGTCGACGAGAAGCTGGCGAAAGAGGTGCCGGGATAAAATCAGCGCTATGTTCGTCGGTTTTGCCGAGCGCTTGGTCAATCAAAGGCCTCCCTGTCAGGTGTTGCGCTGCCTTTATGCATCGAAAGAGCGCGAAATGCATTATATCGGCGCTGAATTGTGCGCGGAGGTCATGCGGGCAGGTGCAAGCCACAAGTTCCTGAGCGTGGTGAAGTATGGCGTGACAACAAATAGCTGGTGGGATACGGTTGACATTTTTGCAGCAAGCGCCATGTCGGATTACCTTCGTGCTTCTGGGAAAGGCGACGAGATTCTGCGGGTCATGGACAAATGGGCCGTGTCTGACAACTTGTGGATGAGGCGAACGGCTTTGCTTTGCCAGCTGAAGCTCAAGGACCAAGCAGACTTGGCAAGGCTGAAGCGCTACATACTACTCAACAAGATGCTGGCCTGAACTCTGTCCTGTTTTTTTTTTTTTTTTTTTTTAAATATATATATATATATATATATTGACATTTGAGCGTAATCAGCAGGCACCATTCAGATCTGACAGGGACCATGACCAGGCCGCTGTGCAACCGGTCTCGTCTTTAACCAAAAGTAACTTGCCAAGTTGTTGGCCCGGTGATTCCATCAGGGGGGTGGCTGAAGATGAAGCACCTCATGCTCAAACACATTCTCAGATGTTTGTGTGCCTTAGAACAAGGTGCCGTGGCTCGCTTTGTTCTTTCTTTCTGGAAGAGGTCTCTTGAGGACTCCCTATTCCATAAGTAAACACTGAAGGTAACGCATGTTTTTTTTTTGAACATTACAAGCCACAGGCAGAAGCTTGTGCATTATGCTGTCAGTAAAGTCCGGCAGGCCAGGGGGGTCATAGAATAACTATACTTTGGAGCACGCTTCTTGTCCTCTTGACTTTTGTCTCTCTCTCTCTCTCTCTGTCTGTCTTCTTCTTTATTTTTATTGTTCTCCCAATCTTTGTCTGTGTTTTGTCTTTGTTTCTTCCCTCTCTCGCTCCCCACTCTCTCCCTCTATCTCTATCTCTCCTCTTCTTTATCTTCCTCTTATTCTTCTCTCTTTCTCCTCGTTTTTTTTTTTTCTCTCTCTCTCTCTCTTCCTCTTTCTATTTCTCTTCGTTTTCCTCTTGCTCTTTCTCATTTTGCTCTCTCCAGCATCCAGCCCGCGAAAGTGACAAATGCAAAAAAAAAGAAGCCCAAGCTTCTCCGAGGCCGTCCCCCGAAAGTCTGCAGAGGGTTCTGTTAGCTGTTGAAGTACACAGCGCAGAACACCACCCGCGGAACGTCCGCAGAGGGTGGCGTGAGCCAAGGGAAAGAAACACACGAGTTTGTTTGTTTGGCCGACCCACAAACAGTCCGCAGGGGTTCACAATTCGATGGTTGCGCATGGCGGGCCATGCCAATCGGCCCGGCGACGGGTCCACTCTGAACCCCGTGCAGGCATCGCGACTGGGGTGGTTTGCGCGCCTGCGGGCGAGCCGAACTCACGCATAGGGCCACCTGACAGCCCTGTTCGGCCCACTTCTATTCCCCGGTCCTCGCTTTGCGCAGCTTGTTCGTAGCTTTTTCAAGATTACGCCCAAGTGCTTTCATTTTCAGAGCGGGCTAACCAACCCAATTAGTTGCAGCGCTACGGGTTTATTAGGCCCTCCCACTCCCTCAAACAGGTTTGGGGACTCAACAGGGAAAGCCGGCCAAACAATTCGGGGTTAGATGGGCCTTTCCCAAGTTTAGTACTGGCTTAGTATTGGCGCATTGGTTTGATATTAGTTTGGTATTGCTTTAGTATTGCATTAGTACTGGCTTAGTCTTGGTTCAGTATTGGTTCGTGATGCTTCACTGCCTTAGTCCGGGCTTAGTATTGGATTGTATTAGTTGGGTATTGGCTTAGTATTGCTTCGGTTGTCTTTGGTCCTCTCTGTCGAGTACTAGTTTCGCATGGTTTGAGTATTGTTTGAGCTGGCCCAGTATTTAGAATTGGTTTAGTACTGGTTCAGAGTTACTTTGTGCTGCTTTTGCTGCCCTAGTGCTAGCTTAGATTTAATTTTGTATGGTTTGGTCATATTGTGTTTTTTTGCCTGGACAAAAGTGGCGCAATTGGGCACCCTTTGGACATTTGTCGGCTGAGCACTTTTACATAAAGGAGATGAAAGGCAATCAGTTTGTTTGGGGATGGGTGTTGCTTGCAAAGCTGCTCTGACGTTCTCAGCGCTCAAAAGGAAGAACTAGTGAACAAGAAGGGAGATGGGGGATGGGAATTAGTATAGGGGCAGAGAGGCGGTTGCACACCTGGGTAGTTGGCTGAGCACTGCATAAAGGATATGGGTCCGGACCAAGAAACTCGGTTTCTCCGGGTTAAGTCTGATATTAAACTTCCTTGGGTTACGCACCACATGCCAAAGACAACAGAAGCGGGCCTAGGGTCACCTATTTGTGTGTGTCCCCATGTGAGGAAGCACCCGGACTTCTTTGTGCAGAAGGCGATCGGCTGGGCCTTGCGACACCATGCCCACTACGACCCAGACTGGGTGCGAAAGTTTTTGGACAAGCATGGAAGCACGTTACCAAAACTGTCTGTCCGAGAGGCGTCCAAACACCTGTGACTTGTAATTTATAAAGTTTGGGCTGCGAGGCGTGGCGGATGCAAGGCTGTGAGATGTGGCCGATTCCCATCATACCTGCACACACTATGGGTTTGCTGGCACGCTATGGAGCTTGCAAGGGCCAAAAAATCTCATGCAGCTGACTGAAACGAACTCAGGTGTGGACGGCCAACAGCCGTGACTGGCATAGTGTGGTTACCAGATACCTTGCAAGGTTGACCATACGCTGCAGTGGGCTTGGAACGTGCCAACATTTGACTTGCTGCAGGTATTCAAGCATGTGAACAGATTTTGCCTGCAGGTGGCGGGGGAACTTCGAGATTTGCGCTTGCATGCCGTGCTGAAGGCACGCGTGCCATATGTAGCTGGAACATGCAGTTCTGTTGCCAGACTGATTCAAGCAAATGGCGCAGCAACTCCACAGAGCCGCAGTCACAGGTTGCAGCTTCCTGATGATAGTTGCTGAATAGAGTGTAGATGCATTCGGGACTCACGTCCCAAAAGCCATACTGCCGCAGCATTTAGCGCCAAACTTGCGAAGGGCTGCACTAGATGCAATTAGGGAACCAGGTAGGTGCTGCAGACTAGCAAGCCCCCAATATTCATGACAAGCGTGCCACTTTCAGCACAGACACTGCATTTTAAGGCTGCCCTTGGATTAGTAGCCCTATGGCTAGCCACAAGCCTTATGCAAAGAGACGTCAAATGTGTGTTTCAAATGTGCGAAGCCCCTTTATTAGAGGCAGCTTTGTTGGGATCTGCCTTCGCAGTAGCAGATCCGGCCCCATGCTGAATACGCCTCGCTTCTTGGAAGAGGGCGGCAAGCTCTTTGTGCAGAGTGCCGAGACAGCGGTGCAGGCAGTCCATGCGATCCCCTCCTTCAGCCTTCCAGCTTTTCTATTTTCGGATGACTCCTTTGGAGCCCCCTGACCCGCAGGAACTATGATCCGAAAAAACGTTTGTCTCGACCTTCCTGCGGCATCCTGCAGCCAAAACAGATTGATTGGGATGGACCAAGAATCCCATTAGTCGTCCCCCCTCAAATAAAGGCTTGTGTCCTCAGCCTTCAGCTTCATGGTTGGCGGAAGATACCAGCCTTTTTCCAAGTTAACATTCGTTTTCGGGCATGTCTCAACATCTTGGGGCGTATCAGAACACCAGGCCGAGCCTTTTCAGTGTGAGGGTTTCATCCACTCGACTCCTTGCCAGGATGGGGCGCAAGCCTTCTCGCAGACCGTGGCCGCCTTTACACCCATTGCTCAAGGTGCTGCTCAGGGTGCTCGCGCCGTGCAGGAGAAGTTGGCTGATGGCTTGTGGGCAATGGCTCCTCGCTGGCTGGCTTGATGTGGCCGGCTGGCGGGCTGGTTTGGTTGGTTTTTGGTTGGTGGGTGGGTTTGGTGGGTGGGTTCATGGTGGGTTAAGAGCAGGTGCCCACTCTAGCCTTCCGCCATTTCATCGTGTGTGAATCGTTTTCACTTGTGGACGGCCAGTTTGCAACAAGTCGGCAGAGTATCACTTCTAGACATTCATGCTCTCCAATAATTTGTTTGGCAACGGCTTTGCGTTTTTTTGTTTTTTTTTCTCCTTTATCCAGAGTTCTGTTGCAACTATGCGTGCTGAACAACTTGAGTGGACGCATGTTGGGTGGTTGACTGAATATTTAAGCAGGGAGCGTCAATAGTCGGTCTGAAGGCCGCATTGCCTTGGGCATCATATGCAATTTCATTAGAGGTGGGTGACGCACAAAGGGAGGGCCGAGAGCAGCACCAGGACTGCAACAGCATGGGTTTGAACTCAAAACGCGTGCAAAGCCTTGTGTCTTAAGGCGGCGGAGGCTTGGGTTGCTGCTTCTGTGTGGCTTGGCTGCCCCAATTTTCCTGGGGCACAGCCACGGCGGGGTTGCTCGGACGGGAGGACGGGCTTTGGTCTGGCATGAGCGCAGTGGCGCGCAGCGTATCTCGCTCCTTTTCAGCTGGCCCGTCCTACAGCCGCTTGGACGAGGCAGAGCGCAGGCGCGGCTGGGCAAAGAAAGAACTTCGATGCAGTGGGATCACCTGAGTCAAGGTCAAAGCCCTGAGAGGATGTGAGTGGTGGAGACTTTCCAACTCAGAAAAAGAAGCGGCCGCCTTTGCGAATCCTTATGTGTTCGAGTAGGCTCCTTTGGTGTATGTTTGAAGGATCAGGTCTCACCAACGCCGTGTTTTTCTGGATGCCCAGCCGCAGGAAAAGCAGGGCAGCATATTTGAAGGAATACCAGAAGGTGCAATGGGTAGATGCCATGGAGAGGAACCTCAAGATGTTGAGGCAAATCATTGAGCACCGCCGGAAAGAGATGCTGGTAGCTGACATGAGCAATGACTTGGAGCGAAAGAAGGCATTAGAGGCAGAGATCAAAGAGCTGAAGATTCGCCAAGCACGTTTGTCATGCGCCCTGTGGGTGCAGCCAGAAGATTTGCCAAGTTCCCGAACTTTGTTGGAGATGGAGAACCCTCAGCAGGTGCAGGCAGAACTGGAAGCCATCCTTGCAGAGCTGGGGCTCATTGATCGATCGGATGTTGAGCCTGGGCCGGGCAAGGCAGATGCCGCCACTTCCCCTGACCCTGTGTTCGATGTGCCGGTCGCAGTAGCTCCGAGGCTTCCGCAACAGCCGACGGACTTGCCAGATTCGATCGCTCGTTTGCCGGAGGGGGCCCTGCACGACGCGCAGGGACGTGGTCATGGCGTGCAGGGGGAGAGGCCACAGACACCCAGGAGGCGGCCAGAGGGGAAGGGGACGGCGAAAGGATCAAAGAGCAACCCAGATGGCCAGGGAGCAACGCATAGGCAAGCACCCGAGGGGAAGGGACAGCTGTCGGAGGGCAAGGGCGATGGAAAAGGCAAAGCTGAGGGGGACACTGGGGGCAAGACTGGAAAGGGAGAAGAGGATCCAGATGGTGGCACGGGTGGCACCACTTCTACGCCCATGCTGGAGACTGGCAAAGGCGGAAGGAAGGGTCCACCGCTGACAAAGGGCGGAGGAAAGGGTGGCAAGAAGGGGCCTCCCATCAAGGGTGAAATTGAGTCAGACGCAGGAAAAGGAGGCAAAGGAGGCAGGAAGGGCCCCCCGGCCAAAGGCGGGAGAATACGGAAAGTAACTCCTTTGGGAAGGAGGTTCCATTGGAAAGAGCTGAATGAGGATAAAGTCAAGGGCACTGTCTTTGACAAGGGTGACTCGTCGCCGATGGACACCATTGATCTTCAGTTTGATGGCCTCAAGAGCTACTTTGCAGATGGCGCCGAGCTGTCCAAGCAGGGGGCATCACCCCGCCAGCCTGCAGACGAGCAGGTCTGCATCTTTGACAGCTCTCGAGTGCAGAATGTCGCCATCGTCCTCCGGGGCGTTTTCGGGCAAATGCCGACACCAGAAGCGCCAGGGCTTGATTGATGAATCGGGTTGGGAAAGTTAGTCAACATATTATGCAAACAAGTGTAAGAGCGAGATAATGTCAGTGCGAGTCATTTGTGTGGTTGTTTATTTTCTGTCTGTCTGTCTGTCCGTCCGTCCGTCCGTCCGTCCGTTTGTCTGTCTGTCTGTCTGTCTGTCCGGCTTTTTGTGTATGTTTGAATTGATTGACTGACTGACTGACTGACTGACTGACTGACTGACTGGCTGGCTGGCTGGCTGACTGATTGATTGATTGATTTATTTATTTATTGATTGATTTATTGATTGATTGATTTATTGATTGATTGATTGATTGATTGATTGATTGATTGATTGATTGATTGATTGATTGATTGATTGATTGATTGATTGATTGATTGATTGATTGATTGATTGATTGATTGATTGATTGATTGATTGATTGATTGATTGATTGATTGATTGATTGATTGATTGATTGATTGATTGATTGATTGATTGATTGATTGATTGTGTTTTTGTTTTCTGTTTGTGCTTGTGCTTGTGCTTGTGCTTGTGCATGGTTTGTTTTAGGTCGTTTTAGCTTGCTTGTTTTTTGTGTGTGTATTTTTTGCCCCATTTTTTGGTTTGTTTTGTGTGCTTGTTTGTTTCTGTGTGTTTCTGCGCGGGTCTGTGTGATTCTGTGCTATCAGACTTTCTGTGTCTGTGTTTTTGCCTCTGTTTGTGTTGTCACCGTTGGCGTCAGTGTTTTCTGTATTTCGGTGACATTCGTGTGCTCGTGATTTTGTATGTGTGGGTGTTTGCCAGGTGGGCGGGCGGATAGGTGGTGGGGGGGGGGGGGCGGAGGTAAAGAAGCTCTGGAACTTGTGCATGATCCTTGTATTGAAAGAAGCATGCCTCTGCACGACGTGTTGGCTTGCTGGGCTTTATATGGTGGTTGACCAGGCTTACGGGGAGCCAAGAACCGTCAAGGATGTACTTTGACTTGCTTGATTCCCTTCTATCCCATGTGTTCCTTGAAGGCTCGAAGTTATCACCCCTGTCCCTGCCCACTCACGCGAAAAAAGGCACCGCAATCATGACCTTTTTGCACAGTGCTGGCAGCCAGTTGACGGTCACCTGTGATATGTGCGAATCAATGTTGATGAGGCACCGGACAGAAGTAGCAAGAGGTGAGCCCTTCCAAGGGCCAAATGGGGTAATTCTTGGTATGCCCGTTGCTCTTGAGTCAGCACACCCCCTCTTGCGTGCATTGCGGAAACCCATGCGGAGTCAACGCAGGTTTTGGAATTACATCAGCCCACAATTGACTCTATACTCCATGTTGTTGGTTGTTCCCTGACAAGAATCGCGGCTTGTTGCCTAGGCCAACCGTAGGCGCGTCTCCTTCTGCACAAAACGACAAACAGCAAAAAACACATGCTGCAACCCAAGCGCCACTCAAACTGCACAAACCGACAAACAACAAAAACACATGCTGCAACCCAAGCGCCACTCAAAAACCGCGCAAGAAGACAAACAACAAAAAACATGCTGCAACCCAAGCGCCACTCAAACCGCACAAAAAGACAAGCAACGAAAACACATGCTGCAACCCAAGCGCGACTCAAACCTCGCAAAAAGACAAAACATGCTGCAAACCAAGCGCCACTCAAACTGCACAAAAAGACAAAAACAAACACACACACACACACTAAAGAAGAAGAAGAAGAAGAAGAAGAAGAAGAAGAAGAAGAAGAAGAAGAAGAAGAAGAAGAAGAAAAACACAAACAGAAGAAACAAAAGATAATAAAATAACATGCTGCAACCCAAGCGCCACTCAAGCTGCACAAAAACAACACAAAGAGCATGCGCCGCTCCAAGGACATGGACTCTTTGGCCATGGGCCTAGAGGCCGTGGACGCCGCCCGGGCCGGGCCGCTGGCGCCGCTGCTGCGGGACGT